ACCGATATATCGGCAACAGGCTCATATCGGCCGATAATATCGGCAAAACGATATATCGGTCGGGCTCTACTAAGCACTACTAACTCCAGCTTACAGATTCAGTATAACGATAAATAAATGGTTGAAACCATTCCACATTCAGTCCCTGATGGACGCAAATTCTACTCACTTTTAAGTATCTAACGTGTCCCCTTCTGACTGCCATGAAGAGCCGTCACAGATCCCGACTCTGAAGATACCAAAAACAAAATAAGGTAATAAAAATACACGCTGACAAGAAGGGGTGGTAGGGAAGGCAAAGGCAGGTTTGGGGGTTCAGAGTAAAATAAATAAACTAAAATAAATGAAGAGCAAAAAGATAAGATGAGCCACCTTCTGATATAACCTGTGGAAAAAAGAACAACAACCATCGTCCATTAGGAGTGGTGTATTTTCAGCGTGTATTTTTAGCACCTCACTTGGAGTCTGTCCTGCCTTAACAAAATCTCTGTGATTATATTATATACATGCTGTACTTGTTACATTACTTTACAATGTAAACAATTTTATTTTAGAATAAACACCTTTATTTTTGTTTTCAGAAATGGAAAAAGAAAACACCAAGAATTAAAATACTACAGTGTAAATACTAACTTAAGAGTTTAAAAGCAAACCTTCCTGAACTGCACTATTCATAAAAGGACCGTTCACCCAAAAATTAAAAAAATGTTCACTGTTAATTATATTCTTAAACAGAAATCAGCATATCATAAAAATCTACCTAATTATGTGAAACTATTTTCGCCTGCTCAAGTAATAATAATGATTAAAAAACACATTTTAACACAAAATGGCCGATTAACTCTAATCCGACATACGGAAACTGACTTGTAAAAAAAAAAAAAAAATTTAGTGCAACAATTTGTTACAACTAATTAATATCACAGAGGTCGAAGAACAACTGTTCAGGGGACAGTTCCGTAGAAATTCCCACGTTTCATACATTTCATTCATTCATACAACATATATTAGGGCAGTGGAGCTTATTAACCTTATCAAAATATACTACTGCCATAAATACTGACTACACTATTCAGGCATTCGTAGGCTGTTGGAAAATAAATGAATAAAAGTGAAAATGAATAAAAGTGAAAATGAATAAAAGACATTGTAATTCTGCCTAGTCGTGGGGGCGTGAAATTTACAACTACCCCGCAGCAGGACATCGCTCTTCCGGTCATGCTTGTCTAAATTACCTCGCCATTGTTACGGTTCCGTATCTTAGCTACAGAACAACAACCTTGCGGCATTACACAGCATGCTGGTAAAGAATCATCGATTCAAAAATAGGTCGAAGAATAAAATAGCACACATGAGGCCTCGTTCCCAACACACCGTCCCCATATTTTCGCGATGGCTCTGTAAATCCCATGCAACTCTCGAGTTCAAACTCGAGCAGGCTGCGCTAAGGGGCCTAACCCTATTAAAGCCAGGCCTCAGACAATGAATAAACTTATAAACGTTACTAACTGCTAATAAACAAGTTCAATATAACAAAATCAAACGTTTAAATGTATATCTGGCGCCTTACCAACTTCAACGTCTCTCCAATTCTGCAGTAGAACAAACGCACGCGGAGCTTAGCAAAACGTGGCTTTTTGGCGCTGCGCTCTCGTGACACAAAAACACACCACAAGGGAACTCTGCAAAGGAAGCAGACGTTTTAACCCCTCCCACTTTCAGAATCCATTCAGATTCCTCAGATCAAGTCACTAATAATAAAATCAGGCATTTTATTCGATTGTATCAGTTTTATTTTGTAAAAGTAAAACGTCCCTGCTGTGCGTGCATATAAAATATTCCTAGAAGAACAGGTATTGTGAAGAGACACTAGCTTGTACGAGTTTGAACTGAATGATATATCATCAAAGTAATCAACAATAATATATATATATATATATATATATATATATAATGTGCAAGCATTCAGACGAAAAATCACAAGAATTTAATTCCATAAGTGCGTTTTTATTCTTGGTCCAGGATTCGATACTCTTGTGGGGGTTGATGCCTCACTAGCTGTGCCACTATAATCCAAGACATTACCTGAAGACAGAAAGGTCAGAGATAACATTAGAAATCTTGTAAAAGATCAGGGCATAAATGAATTATAATTCAAACCACAGAGCTCACCAGTAAAAAGAGAACCACTAAAGATATTATAATGATGATGTGCACTGCAAGCAGTAAATTCTCCTCAAGTTTAATTTGACAGCCCTAGAATAGAAAAAAAAAACAATGTGGAATCTTGCTCCAAACACTCAGATACAAACCTAATTTAAATTAATTAACAAATTAAGCTTAATTTACCAGTGTGGAAACCTTTTTAAAGAAATATTCCAGGTTTCCATGGTTAAGATCTACTGACAGACATCTGGAACCATTATGTGTATTGATTATATGATTATATGTATTGATTTTATAGTATCTGCACAACTGTCAAGACATTTTGTTTGTTTGTTTTTACACAGTGAGGTGCAATATTTTTTTTTCTGTGGTTATTTAATTAAATATAGCTAAACTTGCATTTAACCCATAATACTCCTTTTATGTCGCAATGAATTGGAAGCAATGACAGGTCTTTTCATACATATTGTGACATTCATCCAAGTGTAACAGATTATTACATTTTTACAAAATTTTTCATCAGCTAAAAAAAATAATCATACATGAATGAATCATTCGCAGTGAGATATATAAACTGAATTTAAAAAATATACAGGGTGAATTTTCATTTCATGCTGACTATAAAATGAAGCAGAAAAATATGAATGTAGTATCTCATGAAAAGGGTAGCTCAAATGTAATTAGTCTGTACCTCATTATATAGCAGCTGGGGTGAGTCTAAAGTCCCATTGCAGGAGTGAAAGTTTTTGTTGCAGCAGCTCAGAGGAACTTCGTATTTCCCACTATGATTAAACCAGGGTGTTTCCAACCAGTCTGTGTAGTTCTTAACACCGCAACTGTAACAAAAAAGTGAAACAATCTGATTTAGCCAAAAAACACATAGAAATCCTGGAGATTTCTGTGCAAATACCTCACGCTGAAGGGCATTCACTGCTTTGGTATCGGGATCTTGGCTTTCTGAAACACATCTTTAAGGGGAGCCAAGTCTACATCAAGCTAAAAAAAAAAGATGTTTAATGTCAAAACCATTTCAGTGTAGGGATATGCCGGTATCAAATTTTCATGTTGCGATTAATTGCTAATGTTTTTTTTTTTATCACGGTATACGGTATTATAACGATATTGAAATTTAGTTTTTAAAAAGTGCTGTCATAATACAGTATAACAGGTTTAATAACTTTTTTCTTATAACAAAAATAACTGAACATTTAAATGCAATACAACCCTCTACATTGCGAGTAAATCACTCGCATATGCGACTAAATCTTACTCTGGGCGACTAAATGATGTCTAATATTAGCCACTGGCTAATAAATTCTCAGATTTTATTCGCCAGTGTGTGAGTTGGAGGCTAAGTATAAGTTTAGCTCAGATATATTTTCACTCGCCGAACACTCTCTGACTGAGCGCTTCAGAGTTTCACTCTCCGCCAAGCGATCTGTGCTGGTTTTCAGTTCATCTGAATGGATGTGCAACGCACCTGTATTTAACGTCCCGTAAACTCTAGTGTGAAGGCGCACGACTCACCGTCGCTTTGTTTCACACACACGCAGCGAGAGAGGGAGAGAATTGACGCGCTACCTATGCGTGCTACATGTAAACGATATTCTTTGTTGTATTTTGCTGTCAAATTAACGGAGTTCCTTCGGAATTCTTCAGCCTTTAAGAACTACCGCTTTCTCCGATAGTGGGCGGAACTAATGCGCAAACGGCGCTCACCTATTATCGTCCCTGTTTTGATTTCAGCAAATCAGTTCGAGCGAACGCACACAACCTGATTAATATTCATGAATCCAGTAGCTCATTAATCCTTGGTGCGTTTTATATTGTTCTTATTAGTAGAATTCGTATCATTATTATCTAGTCAGTATTTTTGTTAGTTTTTCCCCAATTTTAATTTTTTGTACAGAAACACTGAATGACCAAAAAAGCACCACCACCAGTCCGAAGTTCAGTTAAAATGACTAATATGCATTCATACATGGTTATCAAGTTTTAATTCTAATTACAAAAGTTCTATCATTAAATTTGGCGCTGTGATGAACATCATAGCAAATACACAAATCTGAATGGCTGTTTAAATCATTTAAACACGATTCAGAATCAGAAAGTAGTGCAGCTGCTTCGTTTACAGGGTTTCCGGGGTAAAAGCTGCATTTAAATTAATTATTATTATTATTATTATTTCTGCAGTTTAGCGCCATCTGTTGTCAGAGAGTGGAAGTGCGCTTTCATCCAGAGCGTCTCTCACATGTTCCGCCATGTGCTTCTCGTCCGCGCTTATTTACATCAGTGCGCACGCGTCTTTCACGTCTTTCACGCAGCATACAGCGGTGTTGTGCATTTTGACCAGTTGATGGGAAAAGTATGCTTAAAAAGCATTCAAAATTCGGAATAATTTGTAATATATAATTATTCACGGTATTTAGAAGTGCCCACGATAACAATATCGTGCATATTCATTACCGTGATATATCGCATTACCGAATACCGGCACAAGTCTATTTCAGTGAAATACAATTCACTTTTATATAGCCAAATAACATAAAATTCCTATTACCTTCCCTTTATTAGTATATGCCAATGCCGCAGTAGTACCCACAATGCACCACACAATAATGAGAAGATACACAAACTGAAAGACAAGAAATATACAAATATGAACACCACAGTCCATTAAATTATTTGTTTTTAAAAAGGATTTTTTTCATCTTACAACCCGTGTCCACATGAAGGTTTATTGTTGGACACCACACAGCCAATGCATCCACTGATGAAGAGGATGACTCCTCCTCCAACAACAGCCAGCAGTGCAGGGAGAATTATATAAAAGCTGCTAAAGAACACACCGTAAACTCGGTATTTATGCAGCAAGAATGAACCACCTAGGCCTGTAATTCCAGCCAGCTGTAAAAAGTGGAGAATGAAAGAGTTAAAAACCAGAGGAACTAAAACAGTGCATGTATTTCATAAATGTCATCTTGTCATGTGCCTTGTGTGTCAGCAGTCATGTATGTCATTGTTACTGAAAACCCCAGGCTAGTTGTCACAGTTTATTTTGTTAATATTTCTCAGGGACATATATGAAGAACAACTTGTCCTGAGAGCACAGTTCAGCACTTCATTTAAAATCTACCTTTATCATTGCTTACTCTTGCCTGAATGTATGCTAGAGTGCTTTTAGCGTGCTCTCTTGTTTAGCTAATGACAAACGACAAGAAGTGCATGATGATGACAGGCTCACCAACAAAAGTAGAGAAGCAATCTTAATACAAATTCTGAAACCTCTTCTCGTTAAAGCCAACATGGTTCTGCCTTAATCGATTCGCGTGAACGCGAAATAATCAGTTCTATCAGTCTCTCCTCGGTCCAGTTCAACTTCAACAGTGGTAAAACACTACTAATGTGAAAGCGGACTTTACGGATTTAAATCTAAACCATACACAACTTCGGAAGTGACCGAATTAACTAACGAGTAGGGGGCACTGGACCAAACAAATAAACCATTAAAACCACATATGAAGGGCAAGGTAATAGACTCAAATATGTATATGATAGATAGATAGATAGATAGATAGATAGATTTAGGACACATTAATTAATAATTAAGAATAATGGCGCTTCAAAACGCATAAAAAAAGAAAACCGGTAATCACCAACCATGATGATGATATAACAATTATTGAAATTTAAATTATTTTTGAAAACGAACGCAATTGTTATATTTGTAGCATTTTTTAATATACAATGTTACATTTATGTTGCAATCTGATAAATGCCAAATAAATAAATAACTAAAAACATCAAAGCTGTTTTTATTGGACGTCATTATTTTGCGACACATTTGCATTTCTTGTCATTGAGAAGCAAGATGGCGTCAGCATCAGAACATCATGGTGCCGCAGACAGCGAACTGGACGAGTTATTAGACAGTAAGGTTTGAGGATGGCTTAAATATGAAAATATCCACAGTTATAATGTGCAAATGTTTTACCCTTTAAATAAAGTTACTGTTTAGTGAACTAGCGTTTAGGAAGCGGTTGTCACAGTGCAGTTGCTGCTATGCTATTGGTCTGGTGCTTGCGCTTGTCACAGTGATTGAAGTTTTTGTAACGTGAAAACATTAGATGTGCATCTGTTAATTCATTAGAGATCGTCACTCTGTCTTTTGTATAGTCACATACAAATTTGTCAGTTATGTCCAACCAGGTTTTGTAACTAAACGGAGCTCATTATCGGAGCTGCTATGTTTTTTACTGGACCACTAGCTAGTTTTGCATCAGTCACATTACATGCCATCAAAACATATATACCTTGGTACTCCAGTGTAAGTGTTTCCTCATCTGCAGGTGCTCTTGATGATTTTGACAAGACCAATGTGCCTCCTGTGGCCCCTGAGGCCCCCACTGCCCCTGGTGCAAGCACGACGAGTGATGAGAAGGTAATAAACACGTTTTCATTTTGAAATCAAGCCAAAAAATGATCAGAATAACATTGTATTATCTTTCCATAATTTTCTAGGCACTCTTGCAGTTCTACAGAGTTGGTTCCATCATTGCTGCTGGTTAATGTATTTGTTTTCTGTTCTTTTCATCCTCAGCCTCCTCTGTTGGAGGACAGTAAGTTCTTTGAGTCTCTCTTTGATGGTGAGATGGCCAATCAAGCACGTGAGGAGTGGGAGAAAGCCATGACTGAGTTAGCGCAAGAAGAACCTGACCTAATACAGCATTTTCATAAGCTCTCTGAGGCAGCAGGTAAAGTAGGTGAGTGATCTGAAATTGAGCACTTTATAAATGTTGGATGAAGATATGCAAGTTTAGTTATTTGCCTATTTTCCAATTGTTTTGACAATTTTTTTTATTATTTTTTTTTTATTTAGGCACAGATGTAGCTTCACAACAAGAGTTCACATCCTGTCTTAAAGATACCCTTAGTGGTTTGGCGAAAAATGCAGACAACCTGCAGGTAATGCCACTTGGAATTTCTCCTATTGGAATGTAATTGAAAGAAATAGTGGTTTTAATGATAAACTACAATTCAAAAGTTTGGGGTTGGTAAGATTTTTTTTTTAATGTTTTGAAAGAAGTCTCTTATGCTTACAAAGGCTCCATTTATTTGATCAGAAGTACAGTAAAAACAGTAATGTTGTGAAATATTATTACAATTTAAAATAATAGTTTTCTTTAATTGTTTTAAATGGTAATTTATTCCTATGATGTCAAAGCTACATTTTCAACAGCCATTAACCCAGACATCAGTGTCACATGATCCTTCAGAAATCATTCTAATGTGATGACTTGATGATCAAGAAACATTTCTTATTCTTATCAATATTGCTTAATATTTATATGAAAACCATGATTGTTTTTCAGGATTGTTTGATGAACAAAAAGTACAAAAGAACAGCATGTATTTGTTGTCTTTACTGTCAGGTTTTATTAATTTAAAGCATCCTTGTTGAATAAGTTTTAATTAATTTCTTTAAAAAAAATCTTTCCGACCTCAAACATTTAAATGGTTATATATGTCAGAAGATGTGTAAAGAAATGTGATGAACATTCATAATTTTAAATGCAGAGTGCAGGGCTGGCTGGAGATGATCTGGTAAAGACCTTAGAGAACCTGGGATTGAATGAAAATGGGGAGGGAGGAGATGATGGCAATATTCTCCCAATAATGCAGTCCATCATGCAGAACCTTTTATCTAAAGAAGTGCTATACCCTTCTCTTAAAGAGATAACAGAGAAGGTGAGTTGTTTACAGCATCTGTATGACTGTCTTAATCACTGTCCTACTGTTCTGGTCCCAGTGAAGCTGGTATATGCCTGCCATTAATTAAACATTTCTTTTAAAAAAAATCTTCCAACACATTCCATTTAATATTTGGAAAGGACTAATATGATGCAATTTGCATTTAGTACCCTGGATGGTTGGAGAGCAACAAGCAATCCCTTCCCACAGACCAGTTCATGCAATATGAGCAACAGTACAAAATAATGGGAGAAATATGCAGCCAATTTGAGAAAGATGGAGACAAAGACAGCACGTTTGAAAACATTCTGGAACTCATGCAGAAGGTAGAAAGCATGCAATTTTTAAAAATAATTTAGGGCCACCTTTTTATTCTGCTTACTGATTTTTTTGTAATGATTAAAAAAAAAAAAGCATGAATTAAATGACCTTTTTCTTGTACCCTTTTTACTTAAAAAAAACATAGTATTACTTAATAGAACCTTTCAATAACAGCACTAATATTTTTGTTCATGGAAATAATGTCTTACCCCTCAGCTGCAAGACTTGGGTCAACCTCCAAAAGAGCTTGCTGGAGAGGCAGTGAGTATTTTCTTTCTTTCTTTCTTTCTTTCTTTTTTAAATAACAGTTATGCTATATTTACATCATCAATCAATCTCTTGTATTTTCAGCCTCCTGGCTTGAATTTTGACCCAGAATCTCTGCACCTTCCTGGAGCGCAAGGAGTCCCAGGACCAGAGCAGTGCTCAATCATGTGATCTCAATGAGGTTAAATTAATGTACATTTGAAAACGATACAATTTGGAGCTAATTATCTGAACCTGAGTTGGACACAGTTGATCATGCTCCCCTTTTAAAGGAGTTTGCTTTTGTGTCTGCACTGAAACTGTGAGCGTTCACGACATTAATTTTACTTCGTAGTTCTCTATCCACAGAGGTTCTTTTCATATTCATCCCTAATCCATTCGCTGTCCTCACTGTAGAGCAGCTCGTAATGTTTTGAGTGAAATTTGATATCTCAGTGTGCTGACAGCTTGGTAAAAATCAAAGTTTTCTGAATTTTGTAAAGGTTTTACACTTTTACTTCAAGCACATTTGACAAGTATTGCGGTGGATTGTATTTTGAAGAAGTAGAGACAAATACGTGGAGCTCAGATGGACAGCAAAGGTAGTTACGGTTTGATTGGTTTAATTCTATTTTTAAATCTCAGAAGAATGGTCAGGGTCTGTTAATAGCTTCCATTAGATTGATGAATTTATTTAAATTATTTTAATTTACAGTGTAATGTCCATTTATTCTCACACTATATCATATATACTGTACTATTTCTGTGATTTGACCACTAATCAGTGACCAAAATGGATCTCACAGATTTAAAAAAAACTAACTGCAGACACTTCAGATGCAGGCTTATAATACATCCATAACATCATTCTTTGACCCGTAGACTGCATTTGTAATTGAGTAGAATAATTCTCTCTCCCTTTGTCTTCTAATGGTTACTATATCTATCTGCATATAGAGCAGTTTGGAGTGTTGCCATGTAAATTTAAATAATTCCCATCATTCCTATGGTGGTGTGTCTTTGTGATGTGCTATTGTCACAATAATCCTAATTTGCCTTGAATATTGAAAGAATACAAGAATATTGTTTCGTAGTTTAAAATTAATACTCTGTATTAACATTTCAAGAACATCATGTTAAATCCCAGGATACCTCAAAAGTGGATTAAAGTTTGCAGTCATTGCTTAGTTTTGAGGGGATGGTTATATGGATATTTTATGCAAACAGGTTAGAAATGGGATCCTTTCACAGGATCAAATGTGGAATTGGTTATCAGTTTGCTTTCTTGACACGTCATTGGCTATATGTCCGTATGGTATGGTATTATGTGGCCAATATAAAGATTATGAGAAGGATGGAATGGGCGTGCGAATGAGCTGGACAAAAATATGTAACGGTTACAACACTCAGGGGTTGCTCAAACACCCAAGCACTTAAATTAGCTCATCAATATTCTTTATCCTGTATTCCCTAAAATGTACAGCTCATTGGTCTTGTCATACCTCACTATATAATGAAAGAACTGAACAATTTTCAAAAATCTAAATAAATGTTATAAACTTACAATGTTTTATATTCTTTTTTTTTTAATTGTTTTTTTTTTCTTCAAAATTTTCAAATATTTTACCATTTTTCCCACCATTTTTATGGCTTTAACACTTTCTTTTAAAATCACTTTATTAAGATGACTTAGTTTTTTTTTCTGATGTGTTTATGGCCCCGTTATATATATTCTATATTTGTAGGTAAATGTTCGGTTCTGTAATGAAGGGTGTCCAAAGTTGGAGCTAAACTCTGCAGGACACCCCTGTGTTATGAATATTTAATTACATCATTTTAATTATGTATTTTAATTAATTTTACATAATTTTATGCACATAGCAATATATCATAAAAATAATTAGATATAACATTTTTTATGTTTTTTTATTATTTTTTTTGTTTTAATTCAAATAATCAATGTCTTAATTTAATGATTAGGTAAACATTCAAATGTATTGTGACATCCAATTATGAACGATAAATTCCGATGAAAAGTGTAAATGTTGCGACACTAGTGTAAACATTTAGAATTGTAAAATAAGATTTTTTTTCTTCTAGATTTACGGGGAGATCACAAAACAAATTAGTATATTTTGTGATAATATGTAGTGGCACTAATAATAAAATGACTAAAATAGCAACGAGGAACAATACCATAAACTATTATTTACTGAGTAATTAGTTACTCATGATTTTTATTTCAGTTTATTGAAAATGGTCTTTTAAATTACCGACTACTAAAAATGCATTTTCATGTTTGTTTTTTGTTTTTTATTATGAATGCAAACATCACAAAGATGACATTAAAGATATACAACTTTGCATAGAGTACACAACGTTTATCAACAATATGTACAATGTCATCTGAACATACAGAACAAAAAAGTACGAAAAAGATAAAGAAAAAATTAAAATTGGAAGAAAGGAAAAAAACAAAAACATGAGGGTAAGATATTAATTTATATTTCAAATAGAGTATACAAATTAAAGTCATTACAAATTGAGGTTGTTCTTCTCGCTTTCTTATTTACAGAGGATGAGATAGTATTAAGATGCATTTAAAATTATTTCAAAAAAACTAAAAAAATTGGTTTGTTGTTGGTGAATTTACATTTATGGATATAGAATTTGCCAAGAAAATAAATAAAATTTATAACAAAACAAGCTTTGTTTTTATTAGAATCAGAATCAAAGTGTGCGTTTTCATGTTTTTTTTTTTGTTGTTTTTTTTATAATGCTTTAAACGACATATACAAAACAATACAAAGCCAGAGTAACAAAGGATAAAAGAACAAAAAATATATATATATATACAATCAGAGACATGCGTGACCTTTACATTACTCAAAAATTTTGAAGATAGAACACAAACTGACAGTTTCAATTGCCTTTCTATTAGTACTATGTTGAATAGTACACAAGTAATTTTTCAACTCTTTAAAAAACACTGTAAAACAGGGTTTTTTGTTAGAAAATGTACACTTATGAATGTGAAACTTAACCAACAAAATAAATACATTATCATAATTAAAATATCCAAAAACTACATTTTCGAAATGCAAATTAAAATGAAAGAGTACCTTTTCTTTGATAAACATAGAGACATCATACCATGACTTTTTAACATAACTACAGTGCCAGAAGATGTGGGGTACAGTTTCCAAGAGCAAAAAGAGCAGTTAACATCAATATCATCAATAACAACAATAACATCAATATCCTTAAACTTGCGTTTTCATGTTTTAAAATGCGGATGACAAGGCTCTATGACGCGAACTTTGCGACGTTGGCATTTGAATAATCAAACTTTATTAGTTCGCGCAGGGAACACGGCCCGGGTTGAGTGGATTCAGTAGACGTGTCAGCTCCGGAAGTAGAGCTGCAGAACCATACACGCAAAATCTCTTCCTAACGGGGGATGATTTTAGGATTTAAATTCACGTAAACTGGGCTATATCTCCATACATTACGCATTCCTGTTCGGTTATTATTGTCAGTGAAAATGTTGACCAAATTTGAGACAAAGTCGGCCCGAGTGAAAGGTAAGATATCTGCTCTGGCTAGCTTAATTTGACTGCTGTATAATATAATTATTACGACCGCTTTTATGTACATTTTTGTCTGATATTAATCTATTCTTAATTTCTGTAGAATATAATGTCAATCTTTTTAGTAAGGATTCAATATCTTATTAAATACTGTATGTCATTCAGCGTTAGCACAAAGCTATATTTGTTAGCCATTCAGACGCTACAGTCAATATTCTCTTACAGTATTCAGTAGTTTTGTTTCATAGAGAACGCGCTGATTACATTACTTTGACCAGATTGTTGTTATCAATAAAGGATTCATGATGATGATAATCTATTTAAATCAATGTCATCGTTATTATGTTCTCAAAACACCATCGTATTGACTGTCTTCATTTTAATAAATAACGTTACCTGAATATATTGTTTTGTCTTTTTTTCTGCAGGGCTGAGTTTCCACCCGAAACGGCCCTGGATTCTCGCTAGTTTGCACAACGGCGTCATCCAGCTGTGGGACTATCGCATGTGCACCCTCATCGACAAGTTTGACGAGCATGATGGTATGAAACAGCTGATCAACGATTTTAGTCTCTTGTCATTTTCTTCTGAGCCCTCATAGCATTGTGAATTCATGTAGGTCCAGTCAGAGGTATTGACTTCCATAAGCAGCAGCCACTGTTTGTGTCAGGAGGAGATGACTACAAGATCAAGGTTTGCTTTCTAAATTCTCAATACAGATGTTTAATAAACATATCACCTTGCTACTACTACTGAAGTTTCATGGGGTAAATTTTTGGTAACACTTTAAGATAATTTAACAAAAATGAAAAATGCTTCTTAAATCATTTATTAATCTTAATGATATTTTCATTCAACTACTACTAATACATTATTAAAATAAGCATTTTTGTCTTTCAACATTAGTTAATGAACCTTAGCTAACATGAACGTACAATGAGCGTTTGTAACAAATGATAACAAAGATTAATGAAGACTGTAACAAATGTATTGCTCATAATTTATGCTAATGCATTTTATGCATTTTGATTTGCTGACATTTATTTGATTCTAATTATTAGGTGTGGAACTACAAGCTGCGTCGGTGTCTCTTCACTCTTCTTGGACATCTTGACTACATTCGTACCACATTCTTCCACCACGTGAGCCCTGTCAACTTTGTGATGATCTTTCATAATTCTTTTTATGTTTATTTAATCAGTGAGACTAACTTAGTTATAATTTTCAGGAGTATCCCTGGATCCTGAGTGCCTCAGATGACCAAACCATTCGCATTTGGAACTGGCAGTCCAGAACATGTGTCTGGTGAGTCTTTATATAGGTTATGAAATATTGAGTGTGCACAAGTAATCTTTTTTATTAATTCATTATTTTATTTTTTAAAGTTAATCATAGGTTGTTTTTTAGAAGCTTATTTTATATCGTTTATTTTGAAACCAGTATTGATGATTTAACATAAACAAATAAAACAAAAAATACATTTCATGCACATGTAATACTCATGTCGTGTACTTTTTTTGTTTTTTTACTTGTTAATATTTAGATTTTTTTATTTTATAGTTATTTTTATTAAATAAATTACTTGAGAATGCTCATCCCTTTTATGAACAAATTGTTTGTCTAAGCATTTTTTTTTTTTGTCTGACCTGAGCATCACTTACCATTAGCTTTGTGAAACTGAGTTGTATATGTTCTCTGTGCTGTTTCTTCTCTGTAGTGTGCTGACAGGGCATAATCACTATGTGATGTGCGCTCAGTTCCATCCATCCGAGGACCTGGTGGTGTCGGCTAGCCTGGATCAGACTGTGCGTGTGTGGGATATTTCCGGTGAGGAGGCTTAGGAAAGGATTGAGTAGTTTGGGATAGGCCTGTCACGATAACAACTTTTTGTTGTGCGATATATTGCCCCAGAAATAATTGCGATAAGCGATATTATTGTCATTTTAAAGACCATTTTATGCCACTGAATCCATAATAAATAGTAAATAAACATTTTCTAACAAAACGTGCAAAGTAACAAGTAGAAAAAAAGAAAAATGCACATAAAGAACTTGTATGGAGATTTTTCCATCTACAGATTTTCCCCTGACCTTCTTTTCTCTGTAATTTAAGGGTGCACACTATTGCTGAAAAACACCATCACTACTTAGCAGTCAGATGTCTGTATGCACAAAGGCACAGATCCCTAAACAAGGCCATATCTGCAGATGAAACTTTT